ATTAGTGTGGCCCGCGCGACTTTGAAATGGATGCTGTATGTGTTAGCACTACCTCCGTGCTAAATAGTTAGGTTTGTCTCATTCGAAGGCCAAAAAGCTTCGGAGCACCCGGACTATAGCTGCAACGGGACGGTGCCCCGCACCAGCTTGAATACACGTGTAAACCACGGATGTAAACAACCCAGCGCTGCAGCTGAATACAAATTTAAACAGATAAACAACACGCCAGTGTGGCTGTCACCGAAGCATCAAACCTGACGTTACACACGCACAAGAAATGGGAAAAATGAGTGCTAAGAAGCTAACACGGAGTAGCATTGAATTGCCAAAACTGAAATTGATTTGAGATCATGAAAATAAACAGTCATTGCTGCAAATAATCAGCGCGACTTCCTTTACTTGATGTACCGGATCTACTCGGAATGTCAATGAATGAAGTGACCTACAAAGCAACTTAGAAAGCGCACAGTTGTTGCCTTTCATTCGCCCATGCACACCCGCTAATATATTTGGGAAACAAGCACCAGGACAACTGATGTAATTTTTAAATGTGATGATTCTAAATGTTTACGCCCATATACTTTTCAAAATCACAGTAGGAAGCACGCTGATCAAGGGATAAGCACGTCTGCCTCCCAGTTCTGGGTTTAGGCCAGGGGGAGGGAACTCCGGTTCCTTGAGAGCCATATACTGCCTGTTTTAGATCTCTCTACTTCGATGCAATAAATAATAAATGCTTTTGCGATGCGAGGGCCCGGTCTTATTCGGTGGGGTCGTCATAGTGCGTAGAGCTGATCAGCTTCGCCAGGGTCCGCCAAAGACCACTGTCATGAGCCAGGTCCGCTGCATCCTCCAGGGTAAGCCCTTGGTGCGGGAGATCCTCCCTGATGACATCAAGCCATCTGGTGTGGGGTTCGCCGCATGGCCTTTTCCAGCCGGCTGTAGCTGGGTCGAATGAAAAGATGGCACGAGTGGGGTGTTCCAGGGGTAATCGGAAGAGATTTCCAAGCCAACGGATGCGCCTCTGGGTGGCCACTTGAGATGTGGGGGGCTGAAGGGTACGTTTAAAGAGGTCTGAATTAGTAACAGGGAGGTGCCAGCTGATGTTCATGATGGTTCTGAGTGACCTGCTGTCAAAGCCATCGATCCTCTTGGCCAGATTCTTGTTTCAAGAGTCTGATTCAAAAGATCAGCTCATCAGCAAGCTCTGTACAAGCCTGAAACGATCAAGATCAGTTGAATGTGGTGTGTTGGAATAGGGTGAGACCTAAAACAGGCAGGACATGGCTCTCGATGAACCGGAGTTCCTTACCCCTGCCTGAGGCGTTTGAATCTTCCTGTGTAATTTGCAATCCTCTCCCCATGCTTGCGTTGCTTTTCTGCTAGTATTTCAGCTTCCTCCAGGAATGAATGGTTGTTTGCATCTTGTTCTGTTCATTTCCTGTTCATTTTGAAGACCTACTCCCTCTAATCCATTTCTTGTGCCTAAGCTTCACTGCTGATTAGTTGCCTGACTGTTTTCAGCTGTTCCTTGCTTTACTTAACCAGCTCTGCTCTTCACCTCAGTGCCGTCTGGATGCTGCAGCTTATAATTATTACTGGAAAATCATAGAAGCTAAGCATGGCAAGAAAATGCAGTGTTTGATAAAGGAATTGGATAATCTATTTTTTTTCCTCTGTGAAAAAGATACATTCAACAGAAAGATAATCATTTTAACAGGACATTTTGTAAAGGTGTGATTAATTTTAGTTTCAGGTATTGAATGTATTCCTCCATATGAATTGGTGGATGTATTTTCTCTACTTAGGCAAACTTAACAAGAGACTTGATGTTTGATACCTATTGCGTCTCTTAGTGAAGCGGTGGTGTTAGGGAGGGGCCAGCCAGGCAGCCTCCTCAGCCAGGGTGCGCTGCACCTCACACCTGAGACTCGTCAGCTCATCACCCACCTGTTGCCTATCTGCTCGTTTGGACTGGTATAAATTGACTCACAGACCATTCCTCAGTGCAAGTTTGTGCCGTCACCACGCCAGTGGACTCTGTTGGCGCCACCTGCAGTTTCTTGTTCCTTGTGTGGACAATTCCTTTGTAGACTCCTCGTGCTCACTGTCATGAGCCAGGTCCGCTGCATCCTCCAGGGTAAGCCCTTGGTGCGGGAGATCCTCCCTGATGACATCAAGCCATCTGGTGTGGGGTTCGCCGCATGGCCTTTTCCAGCCGGCTGTAGCTGGGTCGAATGAAAAGATGGCACGAGTGGGGTGTTCCAGGGGTAATCGGAAGAGATTTCCAAGCCAACGGATGCGCCTCTGGGTGGCCACTTGAGATGTGGGGGGCTGAAGGGTACGTTTAAAGAGGTCTGAATTAGTAACAGGGAGGTGCCAGCTGATGTTCATGATGGTTCTGAGTGACCTGCTGTCAAAGCCATCGATCCTCTTGGCCAGATTCTTGTTTCAAGAGTCTGATTCAAAAGATCAGCTCATCAGCAAGCTCTGTACAAGCCTGAAACGATCAAGATCAGTTGAATGTGGTGTGTTGGAATAGGGTGAGACCTAAAACAGGCAGGACATGGCTCTCGATGAACCGGAGTTCCTTACCCCTGCCTGAGGCGTTTGAATCTTCCTGTGTAATTTGCAATCCTCTCCCCATGCTTGCGTTGCTTTTCTGCTAGTATTTCAGCTTCCTCCAGGAATGAATGGTTGTTTGCATCTTGTTCTGTTCATTTCCTGTTCATTTTGAAGACCTACTCCCTCTAATCCATTTCTTGTGCCTAAGCTTCACTGCTGATTAGTTGCCTGACTGTTTTCAGCTGTTCCTTGCTTTACTTAACCAGCTCTGCTCTTCACCTCAGTGCCGTCTGGATGCTGCAGCTTATAATTATTACTGGAAAATCATAGAAGCTAAGCATGGCAAGAAAATGCAGTGTTTGATAAAGGAATTGGATAATCTATTTTCTTTCCTCCATGAAAAAGATACATCCAACAGAAAGATAATCATTTTAACAGGACATTTTGTAAAGGTGTGATTAATTTTAGTTTCAGGTATTGAATGTATTCCTCCATATGAATTGGTGGATGTATTTTCTCTACTTAGGCAAACTTAACAAGAGACTTGATGTTTGATACCTATTGCGTCTCTTAGTGAAGCGGTGGTGTTAGGGAGGGGCCAGCCAGGCAGCCTCCTCAGCCAGGGTGCGCTGCACCTCACACCTGAGACTCGTCAGCTCATCACCCACCTGTTGCCTATCTGCTCGTTTGGACTGGTATAAATTGACTCACAGACCATTCCTCAGTGCAAATTTGTGCTGTCACCACGCCAGTGGACTCTGTTGGCACCACCTGCAGTTTCTTGTTCCTTGTGTGGACAATTCCTTTGTAGACTCCTTGTGCTCCCCCCTGAGCGTTTAAGTAAGTCCCAGTTTTCTCCCTGAGTTAGGGTTCGTTTCCTGTGGACATTTTTCCTTTGGCTTCTTCGACTTCGTGCTTCTTCCTGAGTGACTTGCTAAGACTCTTCAATAAACTACGCCAAGTGTTGGCTTCAACTATACCTGCCTGTTGTTGTGCTATTGGGGTCACATCCAAACCTTAACAGGTGGCTGACACACTCAATCTACATCTGCTCCAAGACAAACGGGTGTATATTTTTTATTTTAATTTTGGGTTACTCTCACTCCAGTGAAAGGGTTTCTCTGACCTCTGACAGAATATTTTTTTTCAGTTCCCCATGGGAATGGCTGCTGCGGCAAGTGTTCGAGTCGGCAATGCTCTTGGGGCAGGAAACAGTGAGCAAGCCAAGCTGTCTTGCAAAGTTTCGATCATCTGTACATGTAAGGGACTTTACTATCTATGGGTAACTGTGGTGAATAGAAAGTGGCAGCTGTAAATTAGTGGTGGTGGTGGTGGTGGTCGGGAGGACAAAAGCATGCCAGAAATATGTTAGCATGTTGAAGTTGTTTTGCATGGTTGGGAGGCGGTGGGGAGTGCGGGGGAGAGATGCACAATCTTTCATGTAACATGATGGGTTACCTTTCTATGCAGTTTACATTTGCTGTGTCTGTTTCCCTTTGCAGCTGTCGTGGCCACTTGTATTGGAGTTAGCATCACACTGTCCAGGAATGTTATTGGCTACATTTTCACCACAGACCCGTGAGTTACCACACCTTTAGTTGATATTGCAATGCCCTTGTCTGCGGTTTGACGATGGCGCGGTTACTGATGCTTTTCAGTCACTTAATTGATTGCACATTAATTCGACAGCTGCTCTCAGCCACAAATCATTTCACACACTGACTGCCTGACTTTCACCATCCTAAAAGCCATCCTGTCTATCTTGGCTTTTTGTCTGCAATATTCCTTTTTTCCTTTGCGCTAACATCTGTAGACATCACGGCCACACCGATACCCAAGCAACAAACAAAGAGCAACAAGGGAGAGCTGAATTGGTTCTCTACAATTATTCATAAAGGGCGCTACAATGCATGATGGGGAGTGTGTGGCTTCACCATCGCTACAAAAATATATAACATATATGTATAAGTGTGCGGCAAGGTAGTTGACTGGTTAGCACATCCACCTACAGTGCAGAGGTGCAGGATTCCTGTGTGGGGTTTCAATGCTTTCCCCGTGGGTTTTCTCCGGGTACTACGGTTTCCTGCTACATTCCAAAAACAAGCATGACAAGTGAATGGAACACTCTAAATTGTCCCTAGGTGTGAGTGTGAGCATGGATTCGCTGGCAACCGGTTTAGGGTGTCCCCCGCCTACTGCCCCAAGGTAGCTGTGATAGACTTAAGCACGACACGCCCACGACCCTCGTGAAGTTAAGTGGATGAGAAAATGGATGAATGGACATGTATACGTTTGTCTGTACAATCATCCATCCACTTCTTGGAAGAGCAAACAAGCTCTCAATGTTCCGCAGAGAGGATCCATTGATGAATTAAACTGAAAATTAACATTGTGTTGTATCAGTTTTTCTTTTTTGTTTTTTTTCCTGACTTTATCTTTTCTCTTCAGAGACATTTTGAACAGGACTGCTGATGTCATGGTTATTTTTGTCTTGATGCATCTTGCTGATGCTATTGCGGTGAGACAAATAATCACATCAGACATTTTAATGATAGAATGATCAATGTTCACATCAACCCTGCAATTATCACCCAGGGTGTGAGTGGAGGTGTCTTTCGAGGACTTGGAAAACAAAAGGTCGGTGCTCTGTCGAACCTGATTGGACACTACTTCATTGGCTTTCCCATCGGTGTGTCTTTATTGTTTAAAACACCATTGGGCGTCGTAGGTAAGAAAATAACATTATCGTGGACTCATACGTTCTGCAATCATCAGAATGAGACACTTTTGAGTCTGTTGGCTTCTGTTGTTTCTTGAACAGGACTTTGGATTGGTCTTACCATCTGTGTGGTACTGCAGGCTATTTTCTTTATCGCATATTTGTACAATCTTGATTGGAGAAAGGCTACCGAAGAGGTGTGTCACTCAGTTCGCTGAAAACACAAATATGACATGCAATTCAAGTGATTTCCATTGTGACATATTTGAACATGTCTGATCAGGCTCAACATAGAGCAGGGGTCCGGGTCCCTGTTGAATTCATGGTTGAGATGCAAGACTGCGAGCCAGGCCAACCCATTCCTGAGCAGCATGAAACCGCAACCACCGTCGTGGGCAATGTTCTCTCAGTAACACAGCTGTTTTTGCGGCGTGGCTTGGTTTTACTTGTCATGGTCATCATATATGCGGCTGGAATCATTGCCAGTCACTTCCTTGTTAAACTCCTGAAGTAAGTCTTGTGTTGGTTTGTAAATGACAATTATCAGGTGAACACTGGATGTCCGGAGCATGGTTAAAGAGCTAAGTTCCAAATTACGGAGTACTTCGAATGATCATGATCATACTCCATATCATCAATCACTGGACCAAAGTAGTTATAGTATGTCCATAACAATATCTGTGAATTATATTGTGTTCATTTTGTCTCAATAATCTCATGCACCTTTGTTCTTTTTCTAATGATTCACGATTGAGATGAAGAGTGACCGAAAAGCCACGTGGTTCCCGAGACAAGAAGGTGAGGGTGGTTAGCAGTATCCCTGCAACCAGCAACTCTGGGAGCTAATTTTTGCATTCTCAAATGAGCACCAATGGCATTTGATATTTTTTTAAATAGACTCCATGATATGCAAAAAAACATACAACAGGTTCCTGAAGTGGGCTACACACGATGATTTTTAAAATCATTCATTTTTAAATTGTGAGAGACCCCCACGGATGATGAATAAAACAAAATCCTTACGTGTCTGCTTACTGCTCTTAGAGCAGGGGTGTCAAACTTAGTTCCTGGAGGGCCGCTGTCCTGCATGTTTTCTAAGTCTCCCTGTTGCAACACACCTGATTCAAATGAACAGGTTCAATGTCAGGCTTCCGCAGAGCTTGCTGATGATCTGATCATTTGAGTCAGCTGTGTTGCAACAGGGAGATTTGGAAAACATGCAGGACAGCGGCCCTCCAGGAACTAAGTTTGAGACCCCTGTCTTAGAGTGTGTGCTGTATTTAAGCTAATAAACACAGCACAATGCACACACGCAATAACATTGGCTGCAGCACCTGTGAAAGGGACCAAAGTGCCACAGTGCTTCAAGGCCACTAGAAAGTACCAAAGAAGCAGAAAAAATTAGAAGAATTGGAAGAGGTTAGCTCAACTGTTAGCTTATCTGGTCTTCTCCATTGTGGTGAATGACTTGTGAGATACGTTATGCAAACACTGAATGCAGACAGTTGCGCCTCTATTTGTGCTTCAGGCTGTTTCGTAATTGGCTATCTTTCAGTTTCCAATCACAAATAGAGAATTCAGCCCATTTTGGAGTTCGAGAAGAAATTACGCATGTAAATATTTCACAGGGTTTTTTTTGTAAATATTTAACAGGTTTGACATTGATGATTGTTGGAACTAACCCATTTTTAGGCACCCCGCACTATAGTTTAGTCACTCAGATTAATCTTTCATTGACAACCAAGAATCTGGCCATTTTGTTGTTTTTGAGGGAAGTTGCAAATGAGGGAAGATGCTCAACAATGACCTGATGGGCTGTTTTTGTAGCTTTTTCTTTCTTTTCTTTCTTTTTTTTTAATTGATTGTGCATATTCATTTGGAACACTGTGTTTTGAGTTATTTTGCAAGAAAATATTTTGTCATAGTTTTGTTCAGTAACACCCAGATTATTATGGGAGCTAATTGTAATTGTTGAGGATTGAAAAATGCATTGACTGTAAATCACACTGCCTGCTGTATGCACAAAACAACACGAGCCTACAGTACAAACCAATCCAAATAAAAACTTTTTTTGAAATAAAATTGTGATGTTCATATATATATTCGTAATTCTTAATTCTAATACCCGCTGCCGGTTCTTGACAGTTTTACTTGGTGTGTGACAGGGGGGTGGCAGTAGGTTCAGTTGGGAGGGCAGAGGTTTTCAGTTATAAGTTAACTCCACCTATGCATACACAATGTTTCCTCTAAGGTGTGTGTGTGTGAGCAATTGTGTTCTTCTCCCACCCTCTCAGTGCACATGATCAGGCTGGCACACACCATACACACACATTACATTTCTACACTCATTCCTTCCTTTCCACCCCAGTTTAATCTACAAACAGGACACCACACCATTCCCACTTCCTTTACAGTTTTGGTAGCGTGACCAAGTGTGGACACTCAGTTCTACAATAGTTAATTTTGAAGCATAGATTGACACACAATTCCAAAGATGGTTGTAGCTCAGGGGTAGGGAACTAAGGAAGGTGTGTTGGAGTGGGGAGCGACCTAAAACAGGCCGGATATGGCTCTCAAGGAACCAGACTTCCCTACCCCTGGTGTAGCTTATGAGCCCCTAAAATGAGGCTCTTTCCCACGTTTCAGAGGTCAGATAAGTATACATTTGTTGTGCTTAATTCCATGACGTTTTCCACTATTTATGAGTGGACAATGTGGGACCATACTTACCCAGATTGTATGGAGACTTCATTAAAATAATTACTTCTGCTTACAATTACCTGTGGGCTGATTTTATTTGTGTCACAAAACTCTCTTCAATGATATTTAATAGATTTTTTTCGTGACATACCTGCATCGTGGAACTTATTTTGTTCTTCGGTTTTAGACAAGTGTAATTCTGGTTTGACCACCGTCTGCATGTCTGATGTTGCTCATCGTTGTCCAAAGGATGCTCAGGGCATTTGTGTGAATGCTGAGGCACATGCAAAATTAGAGGTAACATTCTGCAGACTTTAACCACACAAATACACCCGCTCGCAGGCACACACATACACCCTCTAATTCAGGTTTTCATTTCTGCATTCCCTGAAAAGTTTGATGCAGATCACATTAATAATATAGCTTCATGTTGAACCCTAATTCATTCTGTGTGTAGGCTATTCAATAACAATTCTCAACTCGGACTGCCGCAAACAATTATTTTGCGAGTTGGCCAGTTACCGATAGTAGCTGTAATAAGATGACTAATCGGATCATGTAAATCACCATATATTGCTCCAGCAAGAAGGTGCTCTTGTATAACCGTTACTATCTTATAGCCCGTATTCTTTAAGGCAGGGGTGTCAAACTCATTTTTGTCGAGGGCCAGTTTCCCTTGGAGGGCCATTATGACTGAAACCATAGAAAGAAGTCAAGAATAACAGTTTATTCGCCTACTGTTTAAGTTACTGTAATGAGGGGTTTGGTAACAAGGAAATGCTTACAGTGTCACTCTTATTTATTACAAATGAGAATTTCAAATTTTGGTAGCAATTTTAGCAAGCATCATGAAAGTTGACATAAAATGATATGGCGGGCCAGATCTGGCCCCCGGGCCTTGAGTTTGACACCTGTGCTTTAAGGTATTTACAAATTCAAAATAAAGACAATGAAGTTCAACTTTGTTGAAACTTCGCAATTTGTACCAGCATTCCTGACTTGCCGCGAGTTTGAAACCACAGCCTCACTCCCTTTCACCATGAATTGTAACTTTGTAACATACTGTAAAACATGAAAGGCAGCAAGTCATCATACATACCATCCTTGGCCTGGCGATTGTCACGATGACTGACTAGCCAGCGACCACTCATTTGCTTTGCATCTCATTTGTTTTGTTGAATAAGATTATTATTAGATTGAAGATTATGTAAGCAATGATTTGATATTGTCAGACTGTCACCCGATACCTCTGACACAAATCGATGAGATTGTTAGCCCCCTAAAAAGGCTGCTGTGCGAAGGGAGGGCTCAGCCTATTTTAAAAGCCCATTTACTTACGTCATACTTTTAAACATGATACTTTGGCACACATTCTTTTCTGTACGAGAGTGGTGTTGAATGATGTCAAAACAACCATGTAACTGTGGCTGTTGCTATGGTTCCGAAAAAAAAATGAGATGTGCAGCATGTGAAGCAGTTGATGTGGAGCTTATGCAAGAGGAACAGAAACAAAATATTGCAGAGCCTCCGTATGAGATTCACATACAGGTATTTTGAAGAATCTTTTTTAATCTTTTATTGCCATGAAATGTGTCATATGCTTTAAACCAGTTTGTCTCAAACTCGCGGCCCGCGGGCCAAATGCGGCCCACAGGATGCCAGTTTGAGGCCCCCGCCTTGATATGAAAGTTTAATATTAGTGTGGCCCGCGCGACTTTGAAATGGATGCTGTATGTGTTAGCACTACCTCCGTGCTAAATAGTTAGGTTTGTCTCATTCGAAGGCCAAAAAGCTTCGGAGCACCCGGACTATAGCTGCAACGGGACGGTGCCCCGCACCAGCTTGAATACACGTGTAAACCACGGATGTAAACAACCCAGCGCTGCAGCTGAATACAAATTTAAACAGATAAACAACACGCCAGTGTGGCTGTCACCGAAGCATCAAACCTGACGTTACACACGCACAAGAAATGGGAAAAATGAGTGCTAAGAAGCTAACACGGAGTAGCATTGAATTGCCAAAACTGAAATTGATTTGAGATCATGAAAATAAACAGTCATTGCTGCAAATAATCAGCGCGACTTCCTTTACTTGATGTACCGGATCTACTCGGAATGTCAATGAATGAAGTGACCTACAAAGCAACTTAGAAAGCGCACAGTTGTTGCCTTTCATTCGCCCATGCACACCCGCTAATATATTTGGGAAACAAGCACCAGGACAACTGATGTAATTTTTAAATGTGATGATTCTAAATGTTTACGCCCATATACTTTTCAAAATCACAGTAGGAAGCACGCTGATCAAGGGATAAGCACGTCTGCCTCCCAGTTCTGGGTTTAGGCCAGGGGGAGGGAACTCCGGTTCCTTGAGAGCCATATACTGCCTGTTTTAGATCTCTCTACTTCGATGCAATAAATAATAAATGCTTTTGCGATGCGAGGGCCCGGTCTTATTCGGTGGGGTCGTCATAGTGCGTAGAGCTGATCAGCTTCGCCAGGGTCCGCCAAAGACCACTGTCATGAGCCAGGTCCGCTGCATCCTCCAGGGTAAGCCCTTGGTGCGGGAGATCCTCCCTGATGACATCAAGCCATCTGGTGTGGGGTTCGCCGCATGGCCTTTTCCAGCCGGCTGTAGCTGGGTCGAATGAAAAGATGGCACGAGTGGGGTGTTCCAGGGGTAATCGGAAGAGATTTCCAAGCCAACGGATGCGCCTCTGGGTGGCCACTTGAGATGTGGGGGGCTGAAGGGTACGTTTAAAGAGGTCTGAATTAGTAACAGGGAGGTGCCAGCTGATGTTCATGATGGTTCTGAGTGACCTGCTGTCAAAGCCATCGATCCTCTTGGCCAGATTCTTGTTTCAAGAGTCTGATTCAAAAGATCAGCTCATCAGCAAGCTCTGTACAAGCCTGAAACGATCAAGATCAGTTGAATGTGGTGTGTTGGAATAGGGTGAGACCTAAAACAGGCAGGACATGGCTCTCGATGAACCGGAGTTCCTTACCCCTGCCTGAGGCGTTTGAATCTTCCTGTGTAATTTGCAATCCTCTCCCCATGCTTGCGTTGCTTTTCTGCTAGTATTTCAGCTTCCTCCAGGAATGAATGGTTGTTTGCATCTTGTTCTGTTCATTTCCTGTTCATTTTGAAGACCTACTCCCTCTAATCCATTTCTTGTGCCTAAGCTTCACTGCTGATTAGTTGCCTGACTGTTTTCAGCTGTTCCTTGCTTTACTTAACCAGCTCTGCTCTTCACCTCAGTGCCGTCTGGATGCTGCAGCTTATAAT